CAAAACAAACAATCAAACACATAATCAAAGAACAATTTTATCCTCAATTTTAGTCATAATAAATATTTTCAATAAAGTAGATAATTTTAAACGGTGTACGATAAATATTCTAGCATAGCTAAACGGTTATGCGCAGAGATCTGTGAATATTAAATCGATTATTTCTTCCGGTTTGTAAAATATTTACCGTCCCAATGTTTGTTTATCTAAAACTTTGATGTAAAACTTCACTATGCTTATATATTAACTGATGATAAAAAAATGGAATAACATGTAAAATACACACATCTTTTAACATTAAAACAGCTTAATGCTGCATAGGTTTCATCAGAGATCATGGTCTTTTTAGTTTTAAAATATTGAATATTTTGTCGAAAAGATGTTCTTGGCAGCTGATTATAAATTTATTGTCAAATATCTATAATGATTAGACACTGTGTCTAAGAATCTCAACAACGAGTTTTTGTTTTTGTTTAAAATGCCCTAGAGTTATTTACATTTTTCATAATTTTGAAATGCACAACAATAGGTGTTAAGTGTTGTTTATGTAGCCATGCTGTTGTTTTTATCTCGGTCTCGGTGATTTTTCCAGATCCTTTAGGATCACTGATTCAAGTATGTTTGGATTTAATATCAATTAATGCAGGTGATAAAGAGCTTGAGTGATGCGAGAGTCTCCATTATATCTCATCGACGACTTTAAGGAAACAGTCTCGTTTTTATAGAGGATTTAAGAAAAATGTAGCTAAGTAGTATCTAACTCATCAATACTAATCCCTCGCCAATACCAGATTATACGATCAATTGTTATAATTAAGAAATTCAAGATGGAACTAAGTTATCATATTCCAAAATGCAATATGTTGATGATGGAACTAAGTTTAACTCTGTTCTGTACCTATCTGTAATAGGTTGATGTAGTACGTTTAACTTTATTATGTTCTAAAATGTAATATGTGGACGGATCAACTTATTATCCCACTATGCAAGGTCTCTGTCTACATTGCTTTCAATGTTTGAAAATAATCTATCACCCGCACCAAAATATTTCCACTTCAAAAATAGCAAGATAAAACTTAAAATATTCCGTGCAAGATAATGCACAAAATGCGACTCTGTATATTATTATTTATTTTGAAAACATTTATTCAATGGCATGGTATCAAATGGAAACTATCTCACATTACTTTTTTGAATGCCGCCGCTGAAAAAACAAATAGACAAATATTACACGCCTATAAGCACTTCCAACGCCACTCTGGACACTATTTGACAGAAATTGATAAGGTCACCATCCTTAGGAATACCCACACTTACATTTCAGAAACAAAACGATTTTCTTTGGCCTAAAATATGACAACTTATTTCTTCTCTTCTTACACCTTGATATGCCATTACATCTAGGAAAGACTGCATTGGGTTATCTTTTTGGTTCCAATCAAAAGCTTAAATAAGTTAAAGAACTTAACATTGTAATAAACATATTTTTTTTAGTTCTACAATCTGTACTATATTTAGGTCTTAATATTAATAATGTTTTGCCAGATGATTCTTTTGTTAATGATATTCTTTGTTATGTAAATATATGAATAGACAGGCGCAATGTTTGAGATTTCGGGACTAGAAAATTTATGACCATAAAGCAGTGCTACCTAGATTATTCATTTCCTTCTTGGTACCAATATTTGAAAATTGGATGGGTATGCAAATACAGTTGCAATTCAGTTTAAGAATACAAAAATTATACACAACCTGGATTAACGAATAACAATTACTAGTAGATAGTATAATTGATATGAAAATAAAAAACTTAACAATTTGACTCGCTCTCACAGAAAAAGCTTTATACTAATATTTACCGAGATTCTTTACTATTTTAAAGTTCCTAGATTGCATCAATTCTACAATTTGTATCTGTAATAATAAGATTTTATAAAAGTCTTTCTTAATTCATCGTAAAACGGGCAAATAATTACAAAATTATAATCATCCTTTATATCGTTTCTGTTACAAAGTGAGCATTTTCTTTGATTTCGGTCTTTTCTATCTGTTTGTGTTTTATATGCATATTTTATATATAACAGTTTATTTACATATTTTGAAATTAAAAAATAAATATGTATGCATTTTCGTCTTTATGTTCTTTGTTTATCGTCCGAAACGAATACTATGTCGTATTAGACGTTAGTTAAGGTTCCATGTTATTTACTTTACGGCAGGAGTAATTGAAATATAACTGCAAACATTACTGTTACAGTAAAGTTATGACATTGTATCGTTTTTGAATTTTTTAACATAAAAATCAATTAAATTTAAAGGTAAAAACAAAGTTCAATACATGACAATGAAGCTATTGTCCAGAGATATGCTGAAGAATAAAGACAATATACTTGTGGAATGGCGATGTGTTTAAAGCAATGACAGAAGAGGAATTTAAATGAGAACGCCTTGTTTGTATAATAAATCCACGGGTTTTGCAAAACGTAAAAAGGGAAAAACTGAAGAGAAAAAAAAACACTTAATATACTGAAACAATCGTAAGTAACCTTTCTTATGTAAAATAGTGTTACAGCAGACACAATAATCATTTGGGTTATTAATCTAGAAAACTGGAACACTGTTATTGTTAGCTATATGTGTTCTTAAATGAACCTGGTGAGTTTCGGTAAGAAAACTCAGTTTCTAATACCACCATCTACGCAGTCGGTACGTATTGATAATAAATACTTGATTGATATCCAAATATACATGAAAATGATAAACATTATATCATTTGAACACATCAATGATCATATGATATATTGGACATTTATTGAACTGTTATTAAACTGAGAATATCTGATAAGTTCGGATTTTTGGTGTTTACGAGCTTTGAAGTAGAAAGTAAAATTAATAATCTTGTACGTTTAATTTATGAAAAATCATTTTCATTATATTTCGAAATGACATGATATACCCTTTACATTTCATTTAAAGTGAAGTTTCCAGATTTGTAATTTTAAGATGACCAATGAAAATTCTTCTTTTATCAAGTTCTTCCCTGTCAATTTTTACAGGTAGTCAAACTGATTTTAGATGACCTTTGGTCGAATGAGTATTATCAGTGGGAAATTTCAGTTAAAAGAGTCCTTTTCTTGTAACTCAACTTTAAGGTCGGTTTAGAGGTCATTTCGTATAAAATTGAAAAACAAATAAGTATTATTTATCATTCATCAATGATAATATGAGTAAAAGATGGTTCTTTGGAAGAGAAAAGAGGTATTCAGTCTTTTTAAGGATAAAATACATTAACTGTTTACATCAGATATATGTCAATGTAGTCTTACTACGTGTAAAGGTAATATATATGAACATGATCAATAGTCAGAGTGAAGTCACAGTTTGCATTGTCGTTTTTTTTACCGGCCGAATGACTTGAAAAACCTATATGCAAGTTAACCAGTTTTACTTCGACCGAGTATCTTTTTTTCAAAGATACTTCTTGGTTCAATTGGCTTAGGGGTTTAAGTTTAATTTATGTAGTCTTTGTTTATTAAATATATCTTTTATATTTCGAAGCCATGCTGTACATTGGCAGCTCACATTTCAGGTTTAACTTGACAGCACCTGGTATAAGCACTATTGACATTTTTAATACTAGTATAATTTAGGTAAATTACAAAAATTTCTTGCAGTCAAATTAAAATTTAATTTAGTTATGCTTAAGCTATCTAACATGTTGTCTTGGATAACATTTTGACAAATTTCTTCGCTCGGCACTGATTTTCTTTATTGTGCTCGACAATTTTTTATAAAATTTTACACACAAATTATTGTTGTGTCTGCTTCCTGTATTGAATTATCGTATGTATCATTTACAGGCAAACATTACAATACAGTTTCCAATATGCTTTTGTTTCAGAACGGACTTGGTTTCGGTTTTTAAACATCTACACATACCTAGACTAGAGAGAGTCAAATTTATTGAAACATGAAATTGAATTTAAGTTGCGTATGAATGGCCTGACCCCTGTTATCATGTGACTTAGATTGCATGTATTCCATTAAGTAAACAATATTTAAATCAATCGCAAAATAACCCAAACAGTCAAATATTAGGCTATTTATGTGCTGTCGAGCACAGACCACACATTTATGCAACATAATGAACATCTTTGATTTGTCAAAGCTATACATGTATTTAGATTTAGTTTCTGATATATTTCGGTTTGTATTTCAGACAATATTGTCCAACAATATTGACCTGGCACTTCATTAACATTCGTAAAGATCATTTGAATAAAAACTTGCCAGTATCTATCGAATATATCGATATATTTTGCTAACTTAACTCGTCAGTGATGTGTGGTGTATCGGTATAGATGTTTACCGATGTGAAGGTCTCTGGTCCGATTCCTAACGAACACCACGTTATGTTTTTATTCTATTTACTTTCAAGAATTACTTTGAAATTGTTTTACTAAGACCACCTGGTTTTAGAACATCTTTTAAGAGGTGTTTTTACACACACAATTATATTTGTTTTATTTTGTTACAGTATCTTTCAACGGTTCTCTTTCTGACATTTTGCAATCCTTTTATGAGTTAGCGCATACACGCTTTAAAGATACTACATAGATTGTACACACAACAAAAAGGATATTAATAGTTTTAAGAGAATGGCAATTTTAAAATTAAAAAAAAAAAAAAAAAAAAAAAAAAAAAAAAGAAATTGCTGAAATAAGATTCGAACCTACTAGTTTACTCTATATTCTTTAAATGAAACCCCTTTACCATCTGCGCTTAAAAGGGATTTGTAATTTTCACAATTGTAACAATTAGATATTTACAATAATATCGAGTAACACTAGATCGTAAAAGGTAAAAAATAATGCTTGTGTATTATTTATTTTATTCTGCTTGTTCATTGTTTTATTTTGCATTCAGTCAGTCAGTTCATTGGTCATGCAGAGGAAAAGTTGCTTTTCAAAATGATAATTAGTCGAATTTTGGCCTGCGACAGCAATATCCCCAATTTACGCACATGAAATTATTTCCACATTCTGCATCAGTGCTGCAAAGAACGATTGCACCTTCCACCCTTTTGGGTTGACCAGGTACACCCGTGAAGAAATGGCAACGAGCATCTGAAATTATATAGATAATACAAATAAAATAAACTAACATCTTAAAAGAACGAAACTAGATAACAATAAAAAAACATCCCATTCGAGATCTATGACATTTACGTAAACAATGAAAATAATTTAATAGTTTAATATAGATTTGTCCTTTCTGTATTTAATATGTTAAACGTAAACGTTTTGTTCACAATATTTGATAGTATTTTTTTGTTTTCATACAATTCATTTCATGTATAGGCCATTTGCTAGACAAACCTTTTACATTATCACTTACCTCTGCAGACTAAATTGTTGCATGGAAATTCTCCCTCATTTAAAACATGGTATATATTCTCATCTGCACACAAACAAAGACGTCCGTCTCCACAGCCCTGAAAATGAAGTGTAGCTACCCTATTTAAATTTCTTATCTATTACCGAACCTTTAAACTATTGAATTTGTAAAATGGATTTGCCCTGCTTTGTATTTGAAACAATCCAAGATGAAATTTCAAACATTAAGCTTCTCACAATAAAGAACCTGGTCGGACTTAAAAGGTTTATAGGCTTGGCTGGCTCTATACTGGTGGCGAATGCTCATTTATTTCGGTTCCAACGGGTTAAGTGTTAAGTTGCTCTTCATGTTGACAAGGATATTTGATATGTAAAATCTATTTTTATCATGCTGGGATTGAGAGTGGTCAGGAAAGAGCGTAGTCGGTATTCGTGGAAAATGTTATAGACATAACAAAATGCATCCGCTTACATAATAAACACCTTTTTAATATGATAAGAAAGAACAGTAAACTGTTATGAATTATAAATAAAAACAAGATTGACAGAGAAAGGTTGCATTCAATGAACACATCCCCAAAAGGAGTTGTTCTTACTGTAATGGATGTACATAATAAGAACATTAAAAGGTTTTCAAAAGGTATGAGCGCTAAAATACATTTATAATTCATGTCAGCTTACATCAAACACCGCTTTGTCCTTGCAGGGATTTGCGATTGCATTCACCCTTTGAATAATTGTCTGAAAATAAGAAAGTAAAATTACCGTCAGAATGTAAAATAACAATCTAATTTTACGAAATTTATTTGGTATTAAATATAAAAGCAAACAAAATAATTACGTAATCTTGTTGGAAATAAACATAACACAAGTGCCGTATAGTATTCAGTTTTTTTTTCGCGAGCATTTAATTGGCGTGAAATGGATATCGAGAAAAACAGATTCACTAAATTTGCCTTCAATTTTATCCGAAGACTTTGCGAGTTTCTGGAACTTTTTCAGATTTGTTCCTCAGTTAAGTCGTATATATTTTACAAAATACCTATAGATAAATATATGCATGGTATTTAGAATTCAATGTTTTACCCGTGGAAACAACAACAAAATCGATAAATATATTGATAGATAAATAAGATTCGCTAAAAAAAGATTTTTGCAAGAAAAGCGAAATCTGCCATACGCTATACGGGGTATGTTATAACAATACGAGATGAGAGTTTCATTTCGCAAGACCTATAATACTTCGTGCATGCTGATGGGTAATTTTATATGCATGTAATTATAGAACATTAAACTGACAGGCATACAAAACATTTTGAATGTTTTAATTTTATTGATATAGTACTAATTAAAATCTTATGTACATGGGAAATTGTAATAAACATACCAAGATGAAGAGGAAAGCAACGCCGGTAACTCGAGCCATTTTTTTTTACCTCAAATCACGATAAATCAGGAGTGCTTTTGATCAGAACTAATGGAAAAAAGACAGAAAAACACATGGATAGATTATTGTGCAAGTCATGTTTGTGAAGTATTTAATTAATCAAAAGTGAAATTTAATAACAGGACATGTTCTGTGTAGTTAAACAGTGCATAAAGTGAGTTGAAGCTGTATGCAACAATTTAAAGCAGAACTTACAAACGGGCAGGTATACCATTGTGATGAATTTTCAGTCTATATGCAAACACATTGTAACATTGTTATCATAAAAGTCATTTTATTAGATAATTTTTTGAATATTTGCTTATATCCCTTTAAACGTGATCAGATCGTAGCATTAAATTGGACGAAATGTGAAATATATTCCACAAAAAAAGACGCCCTGCGCATCATGTAACTAAGCCTCATAGTATGCCTAACATTGTTAATACGCTAAATGATTAGATCTACATGTATTTTTAAAGTTGAGATAATTTTTGAACTGAAATAATTCTTCAAACTATGCAAAAGTTTCTATTATAAAATTAACAACAATGAAGTTTAAAAAGACTTAAATAGAAATGTTAGCTTAGTATTAATGAAATTCGTCGAAATAAATACAACTTATTTGCGATAATTTACTTATAACAAAGGTTACATAGTGTACAAAACTATACTATAATGTAAGTTAAATCTTACCTTTTGTTTAATATCCACAAATCAGATGTATAACATATATAACGTAGGATGGTTTAGCTGTTAATATACAAGTCCAGACTCAAGACTGCCATCTGTTGTACAAAATGGCTGTTGTCAATTGTATTGCAACCCCTTAAAATAGATAAAACATTTATTATGTTCAAACTCTTCATGTTGTTTTTACAAAAAGGTAAAGTCTATATTTTATTAAAATATTTTGCAATTATTTCTGGGTTAAACATTCATGTTACGTATGCAGATGTACTAAAGTATTTGAAAACAAAATTAGATAAATAAAAAGAAGATTTGAAAGGAAACGAGAACGAGAACGCAGCATCTACACAGTAAAAACACTAAATTATATTAAGTTATCTTTCCCTTGTATGTTTTATACAAATGTCAGCAAACTGTATGACACAAAATTTCACGTACAAGAATAAATGCTTAACCCACTTCTTCATATATACGTCTTTTTACGCCTTTTCATCCCATTTTTGAGGCCTTAAATAGTGTAAAAATGCCCCAAACACTTGTTTCCGTTTGTGAAATGATGTTTAAAAAGTGATCACTTTTTCGGCGCCACCATACATCAAGGGGGTGCCAGAGAGGGATGACCCCTTCTATTTTGGGGTTTGAATAATACATTCTCCTTTTTAAATGAGCATGATACATGTTTAATTTCAGTCACAGATTAATAAATTTGTATTGCGTAAATTACACACACTTTATTTAAGCGGGTAATATGATAGTTGCATAAGATACGGGGTCACATTATATCATATAGCAAGGTAAATCAATAAAAACTATCCAAATATGTAATGCGTTCGATTTCAGACATACATTTTAGAGATGGCATACCTCAAGTTCTTCTGTGCATGATACTAGACATAACATACAGGAGACCTAAATGATGTCACTGACCACTTGGCTAGCTGAATTGCTTCATCCAAGTATCCATGCCAGAAGGTTTTGAATCAAAATAAATTCAAAATGAAAATATTACAAAAGAATAGTACAAATTATGCAACCGCATAAACAGGTTCAAGTTCGGAGAATTTTCAACTTAAGAAAATATCAACTAGTTGCAAAAATTAAGGGTTGCAATAACTTTGATGTTAACTACGTCTTATTTTGTATAATAATTTTATTTATTTGCAACAGATGTAGGACAAAACTATGGCAAAATGTACTCTAGTTGTGTATAACGTTGAATATATCCGCTATCATATTGTGTGTATTTTAAAGGGAACACATGGATATTATTTATCATAGCATATATATTGTCTTGTATACAAAGTACATTAAATCTAACTGGTTTTGTTGCCCTAACTGTTTTTATTGACTATACTTTGGACATATTGTAGCAATGAAATCACAATACATTTTATAATTCTATTTAGTAAATTCGTAGCTTTGCCAAGTTGAAATGAGTTCGAGATGATCTTAATAAATGTTCACAACAGTTTTATAAGTCCGATGTAAATGTACAGAAACATTCTTTAAATGAGATTTGCGACCAGATGATATAAGTATCAAAGAAACACCCTATTTAGTCGTTTATGTAAGGCGCACCGCTAGCATTTATATATTTGTTTGTTATCCTGACCCGACCTTATTGTTGATTTGAATATTTCTCAAAAGTTTTAAGTCACTTTAAATTGTGGGCTAGTTAAAAGGTGACTTCACCAATGTTCCCAATCAAGTCGTGAAAGTGACGAAGAGCATCCACTTATTAGTCTTACGTTTGTATAACTTAAATATATAAAATATAAATACTTTGAAACAATGTATAGATTATTTCAAAAACATAATATTCATTCTTAAACAGATGTTACTCATATATCTTGACGTTTGATATGGATGGTAATTAGTTTACACATTGTGAGCAGGATAACATCAAAACATGCAAAAACAATATTATAAATACCAGACATATAATTCACTGATATATCATTTACGATTGAAAAGCAAATTCTAACACGACCCGCATTTTTCCCTACTGAACATAGAAGAAACGAAGTGTGATTATTTTGCAAAAAAATCACTGTTGGCGTTCTATGTAATGACGTGTGACATAACCATAAGTACATGTGACGTTACCACTAAAATACGACGCGTTGAAAATAAGTTCGAAAAAAAATCATTCGAGTAGTATAGGGGTCGGTTTTGCATCACGTATTGCGGTTGCGCGACCGCTATCTTGGATAAGAGTCACTTCCGGTGGTCATATTTGACAGTTGTTGCGCGGCATGAAAACTTAAAAATGTGGTCGGCAGCCATCTTAGACTCTAATTTTAATAAATGACATCATGGTTTATTTTTTGATCTTCAGAAAGCGCATAAAGCTGTCTTGTATACTCGATATTTAGCTTGTTTGCGTCCAGTAAGGGTCACGGACTCGGTTCTAGAAAAAGCAACGCGTAATTTATGTACAATTGATCATAAGCGCTCGATAGAACGTACCAAAGCATTTCGTTTGATACCCAACACGACAATGCTACGACAGTTCATAAGGAAGATATTGTCATTGATCTGCATGAATGATTTTAGATTCTCTGAAGTTATACACGTTCAGTGCCATTGCATAGTCATGCATTAATTTTATTGAGTAGATATATACAGTCATGCATAAATTTATTGAGTAGAACTAAAATCGCTTATGCGTAAAATTGAGATGCTAATACCAAAAATATATGTCTACTTATTGTGTATAGCTTAAGAGAAATAAAACTAAAATCATTCATGCAGAACATTGTCGATATCATCCTTACCAACGATCAAGTTGGGTATCAAACGAAATGTTTTGTTCTATCGAGCGCTTATGGTATACGTCCTCAACCTCCATCTCTCCACCACTATTTGTCTGGTGGTGGTGGAGGCGGAGGTGATCGTGGAGGTGGAGGTTGTGGTTGTTGCTTATGCTTTTATCGGTCACTCCTCCACCCTCTCCTACATGACCACCATCTCCTCCTCTCCCTCCAAAACCACAACTTCTTCCTTTTCCTCTTCACTTGTTTAACGCATTTTTTACACATTGCAATGAACGGTTGAAACTGCTTTCGAGTCAGTCAGAAAACTTTTTGTGACTGACCAATCAGAACATGGCTCGTATTAATGATTGTACTACGCCTTGAGAACTTCATTTATTTCAAATTAGGCTAGCGACATATAAAAGACTGAGGGTAAGCTTAATTTACTTCTTTTGATTATTTTTACGCATGAGTGATTTCCGGTTTGATAGTACGAGCTTGTAGCATTTGACAAGACATTTAGTTTGATATGCAACATGCCTATGTTATGTCCAGTAACGAAAGAGTAACACGTATACGCATGAATGATTTTGTCTGCAATATTGAAACTCTTCTTTCTCAGAAACGGTAAAAGGTAGATGCAAATAATAATGCATTTTCTGTATCTACTCACAGAGATCTTTCAAATGGTATATAAATCTAAGGGTTTATGGACTTTTAAAAAAGTTGTTTAAAAATCGCTGAAGGGCCATAACTTGAGATCGCCTGAAAATCGAATCAAGGAACCTGTGTCAAAATCAAAGGTATTTAAGTCTTCTTTCATTCACTTCTTTCATTTAAATCACAAAAAATCGGTATCGTAAATGGTTGCCCAAATCGATTAAAACCAGTTTGTAATTTAAGTCCCTTGTATATTGCTAGAAACATACGAAAATATCTTAATCAAAGACAGTATTTGACAACAGTAAAAAATGACACGAAGATAATGGTTTAAAATTAGAAATAAATATTTCGCTAAAAAAACACAAAATTTGACCAGTTGCTAAGGGCGACCGTTTCTTAAATATTCAATCAGTTGACCAAAGCTTGCACTTGAAAGGATCCTTATTTAATGTTAAACTGTATTAAGTAACGAATAACAAACTGCTTTTGTTCAAAATAGCACCGTTAGGTATTGTGAACCTAGACTGAGCAACGCCAGTACTTAACAGAGCTGCATTACTGGTACTGGTACGTACTGCAGCGATTTTGCAAGTACTGGTACTGATACTGAATTACTCTTACACAATTTTGCTACTACTCGTACTGGTACTGCATTACTGTCCGAAAAAGAGGTACTGCTACTGCATTACAAGACAGTTCTTTGGTTTTCATAAAAATGTCATCAATTTTGCTCTTAAGGTAAAGCTGTAAACTCTATTTATTATTTTATTTTTGTGAAAAAGTAAGTTATAAAATCTATAGATAATTTGCTGCAATATTCCTTCAAATGTTAACATATATATATTCATCAAAGTTCGAATAAATACACAGTGTCAAACTACTTAATGGTCGATGCGTTTGAAAGGATAATAAATTCTCATCATCTTTTGTGCTGGTCAATCATGAAAAACTATATTTAGTAATTAAGGACAAAGGGTTTTTGGTTAACATAGTCCGCTAGGTATTGTGAGCCTAGACTGACCGGCGACTGTACTCACTGCGCAATGCTTTGATGACACCTGCGTGGGGACTGATGAAATAGCTGACAATGATTGTGCAATGTCTCGACTAAAAATAGATCAGTGACACGTGGAAAATAATCGCGAGTTTCATTTCATAAAATGTATTGTGAGTTGGAATCAAGTGATTAACGTCGGAAAAGGATTTTTTATTTCTATTTTTTAGAGTGACTGTTAGTGAAATTACTCGGGCGTAACTGTTTTAGTATTTTCATATATAGTCATGCACGAATTTGATGAGTAGAGGTAAAATCGCGTAAAATTAACATGCTGATTACCAAAAAATATTAACGTGTATAAATAGAGAAAAAATCATTCATGCAGAACATTGTCGATATCTTCATTATAAACAGTCGTAGCATAGTCAAGTTGAGTATCAAACGCAATGTTTTGGGACGTTCTATCGAGCGCTTATGATCGATTGTACATAAAATCACTCGTGCGTAAAAAACGCATTTCCCCCGTCAAGTGCCGAGTTCCTGACCCTCATTGGACGCAATCAAGTTCTAGATCGAGAATACAAGTCAGCTCTGTATGCTTTCGGGAGATCTAAAAATAATCCATGATGTCATTCGTTAAAATAAGAGTCCACGATGTCTGCCGCCCACATTTTCAATTTTTCACGCCGCGCACCTCCTGACAGATATGG